AGGAGCCTGCCCCCGCAGAAGTGGCTTCCGTTGCGCTGAATGCTGACCTGCCAGGGCCACTCACCCTCCAGGGCGTCCTGCCCGCCCACCATCCGGTTGAGCGTCCTGGGGCGCCCGCATGCTGTGGGGCGACTGGATGTGGGACCCGCTGGGGGCTGGGGCCGGCCCCGCCTGCACTCCAGTTCCCACTTTCTGCTCAGTGTCCTGTCCTCTCGGGGACCCCTGGGAAGTGGGTCAGCCCCTGGCCCGAGCAGGCCCTCTGCAGCCACCAGCCCTCCGGGAGCCTCACTGCCCTCAGGTGGAGAGGAGACCCTTCCTCTCTGAGCTCACAGGGTGGCTGGAGATAACAGAGGGTCTTATCCCAGAGTGGCACCCGCCACAGGCCCCATGGCCTGTCACACCAGCCACTGCTCAGCAAGCTGGTCTCCAGGCTCTGACTGTCACCTCCTGCCCCTTCCCTGGCGTCACACCTCGGTGCCCGTGTGCCCTCCCAAACACCGGGTCCATTTGGCTTCCTGTGGTTCCCTGAGCCCTGTCTGGTCCCAGTGGGGGGGTAGGGGCGGCAGCCCTGCGCTCCATCACACCTGCTCCCGCCTCACCCCAAGGGTCGTGGGTGCTCACCTCTGAGTACCTTGTCCCCCTGCGTCCCTGGAAGTGAGAGAAGAGGGTGTCAGCCAACACCTGGAGCCCAGGCCTGCCCACCTCACACCTGCTCAGTGCAGCCCAGAGGGACAGTGCCCAGGCCGGGGCCTCCACTGCCAGGCCCGTAGGTCAGAGCCCATCTGCAGGGTGGGTAAAGCCCTTGCCACACGGGGAGCCCACCAGGAGAGGCCAGGGAAAGGGCCCCGTGGCTTCACTGCTTCATGAGGGAAGGGTGACTCCCTCTCACCCCTGGGCCTCTCCATGGAGGCGCCACCCTGGAGCCCTACTACCCCCAGGAATGAGGAAGCCTGGAACCCTGGCCAAGCCACCAACGGGTGACCCGCCTGGCCCCAGGAGGTGACTTGAGGACAGGGAAGTGTGGTGGCTGCCAGGCTGGCCTGGCCAGCCCAGGAATGCGGGAGGGTTTCCCTGGCAGGCCTGCCAGCAGGGAGGGGCCTGGCACCTGGTGACCCTGACCCAAGATCAGGAGGGGGACAGCGCCTCAGCCCCTGCTCCATGAACTGTCACCAGGAAGGTGGGACACCTGGGCTCCCCCACCCCCGCTGAGCTCCCAGCCAGTCTCCTGGGCTCCTCAGGCAGCTGCCCCTGCTCTCCCCGTACCCCGACTCCTTGATGACCATCCAGAGATTTGGAAGCAGCAGGCCTGTGTTCAGACCCTACACGGAGCCCCACGGAGCAAGGCCGAGAGGGGGCAGCAGGAGCACACGCAGGGAGGGGGCCACAGCTCTGCCTCAGGGTCCTCAGGCCCCAGGAGGGACACCCAGAACCCTCCTACCTGCCCCAGGGGCCCGCCATGAGGACAGGGAAGGGAGGCCTGTCCTGCAGCCCCAGTTCCGGGTCACAGCTGGACCTGCGGGCGAGGCAGTGGGGCCCCCTGCACCCGGACTCACCAGACCACCCCAGCAGCAGCAGCAGCAGCAGGGCCAGGGGCTGCCTCATGTTCCGGCATGCGGTGCGAGCACTGCGGCTGTGGGCTCCATCAAGTGGGGTTTTAAGCCGGAGGTGAGTGTTGCCTGACTATGCCGCCCGACCTGTCAGCCCGGCCCGCCCAGCTCCTCTCCAGGAGGAAGGAGGTGCCAGAACCCGGACTCCTGACCTGGGTCTGAACCCCTCAGCAGACCCCTCACCCTGGTACACCAGAGCCCTGCTCCCGGGCCCGGGCCTGGGGCCGCCACACCCTAGGCTGAGTGCAGACGCCCGTGAGACTCCGGGCTCCACTCTATTCTTCATTCTCTCCAGCTGCAATGAAGCGGCTGGGGCTGGGGCCGCGGGTCAGAGACCTTGTGAGAGAGCAGAAGGATGGGCCTGGCAGGCCAGTGGTCCCTGCTGACCCAGCGCCCCTCTTCCTAGGAAACCGGGTTCCAGGCCCACAGCAGGCACACAACCCAGGACCCACCAGGGTGACCCGCACCTGGCCCTGGCTCCTGCCCAGGGGCTGTGCCTCCTCCACCGGCCGAGGCAGGGGGCGGGTGCTTCCCGGCAGCCTGGGCGGCAGGGCTGGGTGGGGCGGAAGTGAGTTTGGGAAGGCTGCCCAGGGTGACCGTCCCTGTGTCCCTGCCCTGGGCACGCCTGGCCCTGTTCCTCTGGGGACGTGTGGCCACGGCGGAAGTGGCTCCAGGAGGAAGTTATTTGGGGCACGGGGCTGACGTCAGAGGCCCTGCAGCTGCTGCCGGGCCCTGGACACAGCCCCACAGACCCCTTCAGCCCGGGAAATGGGGGCTCTGGATAGTGGGCCTACCCCACCTCAGTTTACCCACTAATGGGGCCCAGAGCTGGTGATCCCGGGGCCGCCCAGCCCCTGTCCTCCCTCCCTTCCCAGAGTCTCACCTTCTCTGCCTTCCCGGTCCCGGGGTCCCTGAGGTTCCCCGCGGGGGTGTGGAAGAGGGAAGGACGACTCCAGACTTTACTCTCTCATCGGCTTTGACCGCGGGGCTGCACTGTCCAGACGCAGGAGCACAGAGGTGGGCCAGACAGACCCTGCCCAGAGCGTGGTGGCCAGAGACCTGGCTGAAGGGGAACGGTCGAGCTGTGGAAAGGCTCCAGATGCCTGGGTTGCCCACATCCCTCCAGGTGCCAGTGACCACTCGAAGGTGGTTTCAGACCTTTGAGCCCACGGGTGTCACCTGTTTCCTCATCCCCTCCAAACCCAGCCCAGCAACTCTGCCTTCAGGTCAAGTAAGGACGGCGAGGTGCAGACTGGAGAGAGAGGCCAGGGGAGCTGGGCTCCTGCGGACCAGTGACAGCCGCGCTGGTCGGGGAATGGCAGCCCTGCACCCCACACGCTGGGCGGAAGCCTGCCAACCCTGGTGGACAGCAGGGAACAGGGGCCCTACCTCACTGAGTGCACCAGAGGACTGGAATTGGGGTCCGGGACTTTTGTGATTTTTTTTTTTTTTTGGAGAGATTTTCACTGTAGGGCGCGTGCGCTCGCCAGACAGACAGAGAGAGACATAGAGACAGAAAGCGAGAAATCACCCCCCAGGGGGGATGGTCACGCCGCAATCCCCTCTCCTCCATTCTCCTCTCGGGATCCTGGGCACGCACACACACGCGCCCGGCGTGAGTTTTAAGCCACCGGGTCCAGGACACAAACCGCGGTCGACTACGTGGGAATCCAGCGACATAGCCATTACGCTAACTGCTGGTTCCCGACTTTTGTGATTTTAATTTGCTGTAGGGTGCTTACGCTCACCAGAGACAGGGAACGTGAGAGATCACCCCAGGGGACAGCCATGTGCAATCCTCCTCCATTCTCCTCTCAGGGTTTTGGGCATGCACCAACGCGTGCTTGAGGTGTTTTTCAAGACAACGGACGCAGGACTCTATGCGGGATCCAGCTGCCTTAACCATGCCACCTTAACCTTAACCACCACCTTAACCTTAACCACCACCTTAACCTTAACCACCACCTTAACCTTAACCACCACCTTAACCTTAACCACGCCACCTTAACCTTAACCACCACCTTAACCTTAACCACACCACCTTAACCTTAACCACGCCACCTTAACCTTAACCACGCCACCTTAACCTTAACCACGCCACCTTAACCTTAACCTTAACCACACCACCTTAACCTCCACTTTAACCTTAACCACCACCTTAACCTTAACCACGCCACCTTAACCTTAACCGCCACCTTAACCTTAAGCACACCACCTTAACCTTAACTGCCACCTTAACCACCACTTTAACCTTAACCATGCCACCTTAACCTTAACCACGCCACCTTAACCACCTTGCCACTGGTTGCCCTAGGGTTTTCATGTATTTTTTTAAATTTAACTTTATGTACTTATTCACTTATGTCACATGAATTTGACCAGAGAGGAACAGAGTGAGAGTGAGCGAGAGAGAGAGAGAGAGAGAAAGCAAGCCACCAGGTCTGGGACTTGAACCACAGTCAGCCATGTGGGAGTCCAGCGCCCTTAACCACCACACCACCTGCCAGCCCCAATTTTCATGTTTTTTAAAAAATCATTCCCTCCTATAAAATAATAATAATAATTGGACATTTATAAACTGGAATGTCTGGAAGGGGGAGAGTTTTCCAAGTTTTTAGACGTTTTTTTGGGGGGGGAACCAGCAGTTAGCGTAATGGCTATGTCGCTGGACTCCCATGTAGTCGACCGCGGTTCGTGTCCCGGACCCGGCGGCTTAAAACTCACACCAGGCGCGTGTGCGTGCGTGCCCAGGATCCCAAGAGGAGAATGGAGGAGAAGGGATTGCGGCGTGACCATCCCCCCTGGGGGGTGATTTCTCGCTTTCTGTCTCTATGTCTCTCTCTGTCTGTCTGTCGAGCGCACGCGCCCTATAGTGAAAATCTCTCCAAAAAAAAAAAGTGTTGTTTTTTTTTTTTTTTGAGAAACTTGCTACAGGGCATGTGTGCTCACTGGAGAGACAGAGACAGAAAGAGAGTAATCTCCCCTGGGGGATGACTACACCACAGTTTCTTCTCCTCCATTCTCCTCTTGGGATTTTGGGCACGCACGCACACCTGGCATGAATTTCAAGCCTCTGGGTCTGGAACTTAAACCGTGGTCAGCCGTGTGGGAGCCCAGCGACGTAACCATTACGCCATCTGCCGGTCCGAAAGGTTAGAAGTTATAATAGACATGGCCCCTGAGTCCAAAAAGACAGGCAGCGTCCCTGCAGAATAAGAAGGTGAACAATAGCACATGTTTGTGGAGGCAGGGCAGAGTGCTGACATTGAAACCACCCAACGTGTCGGAAATGTGATCAGGGACAGAGACCCCGAAGATGGAACGGATGATACACGTTGCCAGAGAGGAAACGAATTTGGTTAACAGACTTGCCGAGAGATGTTCAGCCTCAGTAATTAAATCAATGCAAATGAAAGCCGCTGCGGGGAGAAGCAGCTGCCGTCCGGGCGAGCCCAGCGCTGGAGGGGTGCTATCAGTCACGGCTGAGAGCAGGCCTGCTGGTGGGCACGGCCGGCCCTTTGTCAGCCAGCCATCGGTGAATGGCTTTTAAAGTGCTTGTTCCTTTTGCCTGTACAGCTTCATCGAGGTCAGTGAATCCGAACCAGTAAAAGCATTTGACCCAAATTGTGAATGACCTGGTTTTTATATTTGCAAAAATAAATGAACAAAAATCCAGGATAAATAAACGACATCAGCGGGCGACGATAACTGAAGGCGTCCGAGTGGGCTGCACGAGGTGGGACTTCGTGGTGATGGGTACATACGCCAAATGCCCGTGGTCAGCGGGAACGGGTGAGGAAGGGTCATAATTACAGCAGGCTGCAGAAAACCCTGCAGCGGCCAGCTGGGTGGCCCTGCTGTCACATGCATGTGACAGGAAGCCGACTCTGACTCGCGGAGCACTGTGGGTGTCCAGGCCAGGGTGGGGGGAGGGCTCCTGGGGCCGCAGAGCTCAGGACCTTTGGTAACTGACCTCCATTCTCCTGCCTCTGGGATGCGGCTCGCAGAGCCTGGTGGCTGGAGCAGTCTCTTCCTCAAGGAATTCCAGCGAAGAACGCAGAGCTCCGCTCAGCGTGGCCACTCCAGGAAAGGACACACCTGGGCCCTAGACTCCTGGCGCTAGGATTCACCCAGGCTGGTCACATGGCCACCCACATGGCCACAGGACGGAGTTTGTGAACAGAAAGGAGGGAAGGTCAGGACGACGCAGTAACCGTGGCACTCTAGGTCACGTGTGAGGGCGAAATGAAGATATTTGCACACATGGAAGGTCTCGATCCCCCACGCGCCATTGCAGGGAAGCTACTACAGGGAAATGTCCCTCCCTAAGAAAAAACAACCAGGCAAGTGGAAGGTGCGGCAATGAAGGGAGGCGTCAGGACGACCGTGAGGAGGGGCTCTGCGGTGAGCGCTGCGGCTCAAGGGGGGGCACTGCTGAGACTGTCAGGCAGTGCCTCTGCCTGGCATGGCCTCCCCAGCCTGGGGAGGTTACCGGAGGGTGTGTTCCCCCAAAGCGAGCAGCGAGTGAGAAAGGAAGACAGGAGGCCCGGGACACAGCGAATCCAAACCAGGTGAAAAGCGAGTGGGATTCCAAGGATGGCAGCTGAGAGAAGCCCCGGCAGACAGTGCAGAGAGAAACCGGCCCAGACAGAAGGCAAATGGGCATCTTAGGAAGCAGCAACGTGGGGAGACAGGAACCAGTGTAATCCCTAATGGGGTGAGCCCTGTAGAAAACTGCTTAATCGCTGACTGGAAAGTGTAGATAGGTACATATTATAATCAACAACAAAAAGGCAATGAATAACTTCAGAGAAAAAACGTAAGGAAAATACCCATAGTACTCTACAAGGCTCGACCAGCTTCCCCCAGATCTCATCTCCTATGGCATCAGCCACCCTCAAGGTCCAGGATCTTGTCACTCCCCCAGCTGGGGGGCAGATGAGGCACCCTGGGTACGAGCCCTCCCTGTCTGCAGAGCCATGAGCTGTCAGCTTCCCACTGCTCGGCTAGCATATGGTGGTGGGAAGGGATGGGATAACCTTGAGCCATCCCCACATGGCCACCGCTGGTCCCCGACCTGCCTCCTGCTCGAGGAGTGGGGAGCATGTGCTGTCGGGTTCCTGGCGCGGCCCCCGACTTGGCATGCCACCCTCTAGGCTCTTGGCTCTGGCCTCTGAGTCACCCGCCCTCTCCCATAAGAACAGGCCCATGTCTGTAACTGAACAGCTTTCTCAGTCTGCTTCCTGTCTGCAGAAAGTTGAGGGGTCTAAGGATGTCCCTTTCCATTTAAGCTTGTTACCTCCTTTAAAAACTGTAAGGGCAGGGCCAGCAGATGGCTTAGCGGTTATGTTGCTGGACTCCCTCATGGCTGACTGTGGTTCGAAAACCAGACTTGGTGGCTTGAAAATTATGCCGGGCATGTGCGTGCGTGCCCAAGATCCCGGGAGGAGAATGGAAGAGAAGGGATTGTGGCGTGGCCATCCTCCCAGGGGGTGATTTCTCACTTTTCCTCTCACTATCACTGTCTCCAGCTCTCTCCACCGAATGCACATGCCCTAAGGCAAAATAATAAAAATAAAAAATAAACCCGTAAGGGCTTCCTGTGAGTCAAGTTATAATCCATGTCATTACACGAAGGCCATGTTTAAATATCTCTCGGAAGGAGTCAGGGTGCAGCAGGACAAATCCTGGTCTGCAGGAGAGCGTCTAGGAGGATTTCTGAGGCCTCACAGATGTCCCTACAGCTCCACCTTGAAAACCCCGACCCTCAACCATGTTTTACTGGCAGAGAGCAGGATCTGAACTCTGAGACGGTTTCTTACCTGTAAAGGAGGAAAAAAATTGTATTTATTTCTTTTTTATAATTGCTGGGGTGTGTGTGCTCACCAGAGAGCGGGTGGTGGGTAGGGGAAAGCACCTTCCAAGAGTTTTGTTTTTGAATTCAGCAAATTCTAGGTCCCGTTCAATTCTGTCTGGAAACCACACGGTTCATTTTCTAATTAGTTTATATCCATGCCTTGTCATCATGCACCTAAAACACACCGTTTGCCCTTCCGACATTGTGCCCGGGAACCCCTTAGCCCAGACCACGGTGCGTTAACTTGTCCTCTGCTATCACATCACTGCAGGCTCCCCGGGGCCTTTCCAGTCCCCATCCACCACTCAATCCCAAAGCCGCTAACGCCACATCTGAAGTTCACAGTCCGCTCCGGGCGAGCTTCTGCCTTAGTCACTAACCACTGGGGGACAGCGGACTAAGGGGAGCACCTTCCTTTCTCTCCCAGTCCTGTCCAAGTTTCCGGCTCGGCGTGGCTCTTCTGGCCAGCAGATGGCGCAGCAGTTACATCACTGGGCTCCCACAGTGCTGACCATGGTGGGGTCCTGGACCAGTGACTTGA